GGTTTCGATTCTGTATTTACAAGAAGATTGAATCAAGACTCTCTAGAGGTTTGGAAACAACCAACAAATATAATTGCCATATAATAGATGTAAGACATGTATATTTACATATGTTAAATATATTTATATATGTTATATGTATGAAGATACATATAACATATATACATACATTTAATATATGCAAATACATGTACAAGCTGTAGAAGTTATATCTGTTTGTTGGGATGTAAAAATACAATTATAATATCCACCTATCTTGAATTGTACTTATAACAGAAAATGTGTGAATAATATCTTTTTATTTTATTATAATTATAAATATAATAACAATATATTTAGATTTATTTAGCAATAATAATTAATAAGATTTGTATATTAATACATTAATAATGAATTCTATAAAATTTGAATCTATTTTATTTTTAAGAATAATTTAAGTAAATAAAATCTATGTAAAATAAGATTTTAGATTTCTATAATTAACTTTAATATCTAAAATTTGTTACAAATTCTTGCAGTATTTTATGTAATATTTATTTTAATAATTAACACATTTTCTATTATTATTATTCGAATAGTCATTTTTCTAATTTAATCTTATTTATATGTATCTTTTTACATATGTGTGTCAGAGATTTTTTGGCACGATAAGACATGCGACAGGATCAAATAATCATCCAACAATATCTATTTTTCTACAAATTTTTAAAATTTGTAGTACTTTTAATGTGATTAAACCATCAAAATATGAAAATTGTACGGTTTTGAAGGATAATGAGGATGAAGAATTAATGATTACTCTTTTGGATATAAAATAATTATATAATAATTCTCATCATAATCAAACATCTTTCACAAAGTTGAAAAAAAAGTTAAATAATATCACTAATAAAGACGAATTACATTCAAATCTAATGGGCTTGTTGTATCATGATTAGTCAGAAATTGTTAACTGTATTATTTATTATGTAACGAGATATTTATCTGTAACGAGATATTTATCTCAACATATTCTTAAATTCGTAAAATGTGACATATGTAGAACAGCATTCACAAACAGTATTAACAATAAATATAGTCCCTTTCCAGCAACTTTAGTGACTAATTTAAAGTTGAAAGAGTCGGTAAGACCCAGTCGAAAAGAACTCGTAATACACTTTAATATAAAAATGAATTATTTAATCACACAGACATTTAGAAAAATTTATTTTCAAAGTATTATCATCGTTCAGACGTGTATGAAAAATGATTATAAAGAATATTTACACTCCTGACTTATCATTTTCGCGCAAAAGTTATAGCGATAAAATATTGGTACAAATAATTTAATTTTATATTCTTTTACGCATGAGACAATATACTAATAAATTAAATACAGAAAAAAAAATATGAATCAACAAATTAAAAAAAAAATTCAAAATTTTA